GTTGAAGCTCAACCCGATATTAAAAGCTTCATAGATTTGAGATCAGGCCCGATGTTAAAATCTTAAAGGAGGTTATTGGTTATCCCGTGTAAAACTAGGGTTTAAGGTTTGTGAACTCAACCCTTATAAAAGATTGCAAGGTTTAAGGAACTTGAAGACTTGTCGCTCCAAGGTCCTCATTTATGAAGAAAGGAATGGTTGTCTGGGTTCACTGTTTGGAAGAGAATAGTCAAACTGGCATATTTCGAAGTTTTGTAATATTTGGTTGGAGGTTAACCATCATTTCCTTGTATAAGGGGGTTGTGAGTCTTTCATACTAAAAGCTCTCAAGATTTATTGGATACTCTCAAGATCAATTCTTGGGGAGAGAAGTAGGTCGTTTAACTGCTTGATTGAACATCTATATATCGTGGTGTACATCTCTTTCTCTTAACTTTTTTAATTTGTGCATTTTATTTTCTGATTTTAATTTTTTTCACTGCTAATATTTTCCAAAATATTTTTAAACTCTGAATTTTTTTCCCAAGGATTTTCAAAACCATGTTTCTCCAAACCACACAATTCACCCCCTCTTGTGTGTGAAGTCTCAAGTCCAACATCTCTTACCAGATATGGGTTATTTATTTTGTCCTCCTTAGACTCTATTTCTTGCCCTGGGTAATCATGTCGAGCGCGGCTATTATTGTATACTGCCACTTCTGAGCGGTGAAACGAGCAATGAAATTCCCGTACAAATCGATCCATGAATCTATGCTTCCGTAAGGCGGAGATTTAAACCAGATCATAATTTATTTGATTAAATTTAAAGCAAAGAATTTACACTTTGGTGCATCATCATCATGATATTAATAAAGACAATCGTCAACATATTGCACATGTTCATCTGGATTCCCCTTTCCTTCATAACTAGTAAGCTTTTGAGGCTTCTCTGATATTTGGGTATCCAATTGTCCAAGATACAAGCAGAAATAAGAATCTTATTTTAGTCTTTAATTAAAGGCTTCTTCAGTTGTTCTTCTTCATTATGAGGGCGGTGGACCCTCAGGGACAGTGTGTTTGACTCTACCTCTTTCGAGAGTGGGATGAGTCTGGAGCCTTTGGCTTCTACGATGGCTTGGAGATCTTGGGGCTACACCCCATTGAGATGAGACCATATTGGATATGACAGTATAATTCCTTTAAGAAACAACCTCTTGCATTGTGTTTCCATTTGGAAGATTTCATTGAGGCGAAGTAATTATTCTTCTACCGCTTGTGAATTCTACTTTCAAACCATGTTGTATACATAGTTCAACAGTTTGTTAGCGCCTTGCACGCCAAGGTTGGCTAGTAGCGTATGGAAACTAGGTAATGCTTTACGTGTAAGTACTGTCGACGTTGCTAAAGGCCTGAGAGATGGTTCGTCTTGTTGAAGTTGTATAGTGGAACCTAAGAATGGGAGAGGTGGAACAAGATCTTGATGCGACAGTGCGGAAGAAGTGTTCATTAAGATATGATTGCTACTATTTTAAGGAGGAAGTGGTGGATCTCTGGCAGCTAGAGCGACTGCGGTTGCAGCTGCCTCGTGTTGTGCAACAAAACAAATAGGTCACAAACTTGCCATTGTTGATGGATCTATACTGAGATATGAAAAGAGTTATTAATCTTTGATAAGAGAACATTGATAATAAAGACCTGCAATTTAGATTTAGGGGATCTAAATCTCTAGTTCGAGGAAGCTTCAGCTTAGTGAATTGAGAGATAAATGTTCAAATGTAGAAAATGCAGGAATCAAATTCCGATTCCTACAGGTGGTGCCCCTATTATGCACAGGAACCAGAATTGATCAGTGATTGATGGATGTGGATCACAATGATAAACTTTAAATTTTGGTATGGTGAAAAAGAGGATGACATGCAAGATTATCACTCAAACACTCTAGTTAGTATGAGAGTGATATATGTGAATGAGATTTGAATTCAAAAGATACCTTAGAAATGGCACATCTCCCTCTTATACAATAAGGCGGTTATCACTACTTGGTGACCTACTAGTGTGGAATGCAAAGATCTGTCAAATTGATCTTGGATTAAGATCACATGCATTCTTAACTATGATAGCACACATGCTCTTTGGGCCATAATTACTAGACCCTCTGGCCAGTCCAGAAGAGTATTATTTAAAGCAAAATGTTAACTAATGTGCTAAGCATAAATAATTAAAGACGAGTCAACAAAAAAACCCTCAAGTTTACAGAGATTTATCATGGTCGTCGAAACTCTAGAATTAATCAAAAACACATTAAGACATGATAATTTATTTTTATGCATATGTTTTATATTTATAGTGTCATTAAATGAACAAGGAAACAACTATGGAACCAAGGTTTGGAAAGTTACGCACACGTGGGTGTAGTGATTCGAACACAACGAGAAGTAGAAGAAAACAAATTGAAAATGGAGCACCATGTACTCCAAAATGGAAGGAACACATGTGAATTATTCTCGAATGAGACAACATTTTATGTAGGTTATGATTAGGGATAACAATTGGACTCATCCTCAGGGGATACCCGTAAAAATTACCAACATCGGGTAAGGTAAAAACTTGCAAAACATGTACGAGCATGGTCAGAAACAATTATCCATTAAAATAAGTGGATACTAACGCAGATACAGATATCTTAGTACCCACCTCTCCCTATACTCGCATAATATATATTCATATTTTTATATTTTTATTAGTATGTACGCATATTAATTTATCAATGCTATTAATACATCACTATTAAACTTATACGCATTTTAACATAAATGTATGTTTATTTCTTAAGTCAACAATAATATTTTTAAATTTTTTTAATGTTGTTAAAAATTTTAAATGATATGATAAATTATAATTGATCATTTACTTTTATTAGAAATACTAGTAAATAAATATAAATATGAATGGTCGTCTTTGAGTGTGTGTAAGACAACCCATAGCACGGAATCTCATATTTTTTCACAATTAAACTATGGCAAAAAGGCTTCCATACACATTCTATGATTAATTTACAGCTAAATTGGTCTCTTAAAAATATTTCACAACTCAGTTGAAGTTAACTTCAAATTCTTACTTCAACACTTCAAATTCTTATATGGAGCCTCTTAAAAATTTTAGACGGCTTTGTAGATATGAATACTTAAGTATCCATAAGATACAAATACAAACATTAGTGTCTATACAAGTATAGACTCGAATACCAGAATTTTTTCAAATCTTCAATATAAGCACATATATTGTAATATTCTATCCAAATTTTGTCAATTGTCATTCCCAATTAAAATTTTAATGTTATGCCAAGTATAATAGTTTCTCAATAAATATCACACTTTGTAAATTATCCATGCACTTTATCTTTATTTAACCTTTGTAACAAAAAAAGTAAGTAGAATTTTTAATATATATTTAAAGCACAAATCAACCTGACTTTTATTTAAATTAAATAAATTTGTGAAATTTTGTATAATTAAAATTTTATGAAAGTGCAAATTAAGATAGTCATATTCCATTAATTTTTTGAATGTCACTCTTATATTTTTTATTGTAAAACTTTTAATTAGTTGTTGATAATCAAATTTTTAAAAAAAAATTATATTAAAATCACAATAAGACAATTTCATTTATCTTGTGCCATAGTAGATGGCAAATAAGATTTTAATAATTTTAATTTAGAAAATATAGCATATATACAGTAATATTTATTTATATTTAAAAATAATTTAAGTGTTCGTTAAAATCACCAAAGAGACTATTTGAGTTATTTGAAAGTTTTTTAATTGAGGCAAGGTAAAACGAGTACAAAGAGAGTAAGAAATGAGTCAACCAAACGTTTCTCAAATTTATTGAGATATATCATAGCCTTAAGATTTTAGAGTTAGTCAAAAACACAATATAACATCTAATTGAGTTTTATGGTTATACTATATATTTATAGTTGCATATACATGAATGTAGTTATTCGAAGACAACGAGAAGGAGAAGTTTTTTTTTTGAAAATGAGGTGCCACATATCCCAAATGGAAGGAACAATTATGCATTATTCTGTGTGAATAGCTGAGTGAGACAATATTTTCTGTTGATTACGATGTTATGGCAAATATAATAGTTTTTTTCTATATATATCACACTTTATAAATTATTTCACATTTAACCGATCAATAAAATTATTTTATACATTTTATCCTTATTATTTTCTCTTCTTTCTTTAAAATAAAAAAGAAATTTATAACTGAGAAAACAAACAAATTCCACATAAATTTTCCTAATTCGACCACAAATTTATAATGTTAGAATGAATAATATCAAATTTGAGAGTGTTGAGAATTATCACATACTCTAAAAAAATCAACTAAAATTTATAGCATTAGAAGCTAATTACTTATAAATTATATATATAATTATATTTTAATATATTTATTCACCCTATAACTAGTTTTGATAAAATTATCCATGTTATTTTTTCTTTTATTTCTATTTAGTCAAGTTCGAATAATATTAGAACTTGGAGATACCTCCGATTATTTTCTTTATTCCGATTCTAAAATATAATTTGGCCAAATCTCTAGGCTAAAGAATATGATTTTTGAATTGAATTTCAAAACTCTAGTACTAAGTGTGTTGCGAGCTTCTCTAGATTACGGTGCAACTGAGATTATGGTGCAATAAACCATTGATTTTGACACACAAGCAGGCAAGTAAATGAATAAACAAAGACAAAAAATAAAACTAGAAATACATATGATGCTTTACAAAAATAAAAAATGTGAAGCATTATTTATCTCGCGGATGCTTTGAATTCCTTCATTTTCTATTTTAATTGTTGTAACCTAAAACTTATAAAAAATATTTCAAACTTATAGAATGGAAAAAACTAACAAGAGCAGAAAATGTACATAAAAAATAAAAAATAAAAAATTAAGATCAACTCTCATGATAAAAACCAAAAAGATAGAATAAAAAAAATAAATATCATTACTTCAACGATAGTTTCTGTAAGCAGGAGTATACATACAACTCTCAGCAAAGTTCACCAAATTTTTTGGTTGAGGAAGGCGAGTGGCCAAACCTGAAAAATATGTAACCTCAATTTAATATTTGTTCTAAAATTATTTCTAATTTTTCAAGAAAAACGGTGAGGTTTTAATATGATCGTAGTAATCTAAAATATGATAAGTTTTGCTTTCGGTCCTCCAAAAAGAATTTGTTTCATTATAGCCTCTGGTTTACGAAAATGTGTTCAACTTTGGTCTAGCAAATGACAGAACTAGTTGTAAAGACGAATCTTAATGCATTTTCATAAATGAAGAACCAACATGAGTTAAAAAATAATAATAATAATAAAAGGAATCATAAGCAAAAGGAAAACAAAGGCTCACCAAGCTCATAAGCCTTAGCAGCCACTTGGGCAGCTATGTTCGCCGAAATCTTTCTGATGTTAGTGAATGGCGGGTATATGAGTCCTTTGTCATAGTGCTCCTGTGTTACCTGTGAAGCCAAACCTTCAGCTGTTCCAATGAATGGAAATTTTAAGTCAGAAGTAGTTATATTATATTTCAACCAAGCTTAACATTGATGTGAACGATTGAATCTTTGATGCGCTTACAAGCTGCCAAAAGCAGGTCATCGTGCACTCGGATGGTACCAGACATTATTAAACCAAGACCAAATCCAGGAAAAATGTATGCGTTATTCGCCTATTAGCAACGAAAGATTATTCAAATTAGAATTAATTTGAGATGAATTTATTTTTAACATTTTATTAAAATTCCTTTGAATTGAAACCTGGCCAGGCACAAAAACTTTTCCATCATATTCAACTGAGGGAAATGGGCTACCGCTAGCGAAAATGACACGTCCCTACACAAATGAAAACGGACAACGAACACTAAAAGAATGAGAAAATTCATTGCTCATTATTTATCCATACGAAGTGATAAGGACAATGAAGTTTTCAACACAAAGCTACTAGTCGTGTTTTCACATTACCTGCGTCCACTTATAAGCTTCTTCAGCAGTACATTCTGACTGAGATGTCGGGTTGGAAAGAGCAAGAATAATAGGTTTCTGCAAGCATTATCATATAGCACACAGATTCAGCTTACATGCGTGCATCATATTGCATATTAGGTTGATGAATAGGTTGACAAAGTACCTCATTATTGGATGCCATCGCTTCGACCACTTCTTGTGTAAAAGTTTTCCCATGTCCTGATGTACCAATCAACACTGTCGGCTTAATTTGCTGAAAAGAAAACATTAAACGTGAGAAATTTGAAACTGTGCTCTCTCTGGTGGGGTATTTGATGGTGTCGGAGAATAAGAGACAGAGATCGTACATTAACAGCATCCACAAGTTTTTCAACAGGCTCATGTTCATGAGCCCACGGCTTCTTAAAATGTTGAAGTGATTCTTTGCGAGAACTGACAATCAAACCCTGCAACAAAAAAAAGTTATAATATAAATCTATACGGAAAATGAGAATTTAGTTTCTACGGGTTCAAGCCAAATTGGATTCTTTACAACCTTTGAGTCCACCAACCAAATGTTCTTGCGCACTTCATCCAGCGGAGAATTTGTCTGCATAAACAACGGTAGTTTTCGGATTAATATATACTATTTATGGAACGAATGTTCACGTCATTAATTTCAAAAAAGAAAACAGAACATAGAAAATGTACCCGTTTTGATATTTCGAGTGCTATGAGTGATGCTATTCCAGTGCCTGCCTGCGACCAAAAACAACACAATTCATTAAGTACATACACGATTGACTAGTACGAAGGACAGGAACAATTCAAAGTGATGCTCAAATTGGTTGGACTTACCTCTCCAGCACCGAGGAATAAAAACCGATGATCGCCCAAGTTTCCCCCAACCAACTTCAGAGCCGAAACAACTCCTGCAAGGACCACTGATGCAGTTCCCTGAAACAAAATACATAGAATAGAAGAGATAAATATTGGTCACAAATCATAATAGTACCTAAATCCATATTTTAAAACATGAAATCCTTACCTGAATATCATCGTTAAAAACAAGATGTGTTGACCTATATCTTTCAAGCAGATCAAAAGCATTGTGGTTTGCAAAATCTTCAAACTAAAATAAAATGGTAAAGCAGATTCAGAAAATGGAAAACATGAAAAGTAGTGTTCCAATAATAAGGCAAGAAATGATGTCTTTGCGCACTACGTAGTACCTGGATGAGGAGTTTTTCTCCATAGTTTTGCTTGGCTGCCGTCATGAATTCATCAATAAGTTCAGCATATTCCTGGAATCAAAATGTTGAAATAATTTCATTTCTGTTGAATATTATATCATCTGAGAACCGAGAAATAAAAATGAGGCCCGAAAAAAAACCTGCCCAGTTGCCCGTCTATGCTTGAGCCCTATGTATAACTCTTCACCCAGCAACTTCTCATTGTTTGTCCCCACATCAATGGTAATAGGCAAGCACTGAAAATTTTAAATCAAAGTAAGAAATCACAAATCTGAAACTTTAGTTTATGACAGGCATGGGTAGGCAAAAAACACTTACGGATGAAGGGCGGACTCCACCAAGTGCAGTGTATAAAGAAAGTTTTCCTACTGGTATTCCCATCCCCTGAGAATACAACATATGTTGTCAAAGGAGATATCATATGAATGTAATCATCACAAAAGATAAATGCAATCAAATATACTAGAAATTACGTGACAGCCAAGATCCCCAAGACCTAAGATCCGCTCCCCGTCAGTTACAACAATGACTTGAACGTTCTTCTCAGGCCAATTCCTAAGTACTTCAAGAATCCTTCCTCTTTAAACCGCACAGAGAAAATGGAACAGTTACTTCGAGACCAATAATATACAAATTCAATTACTAGTACACAATCAATAATTCTTGGACGATAAAAGAGCAATTGAACTGAAACTTACTTCTCTTTCAAACTTATATAAAGACCTTGAGGACGCATGAAGATGGATCCATATTTTTGGCAAGCTTCACCAACGGTTGGAGTATAAACAATCGGGAGTAACTCCTCAACGTGATCAATAAGAAGCCTGTAAAATAGCCTTTCGTTTCTCTCCTGCAATGCAACACGTCACAAACAGAAAGCGTTACAACTCAACACAAAATTTTGCTAATCAAATCCCGAAGGAACATTGGGTAAACATTGTTTATATTTAATAACTATCCTCTAGTCAAAAAAAAAAAAACTATCATAAAAATCAAGGGAATTTTCACGAGGCTACCTGAAGATCCATCATCGCTATGTACTTCTGTAACGGAACTTCGTACTGTCTTATGTTTTTGATCATTTTCTTCACCTGTACAAATGATGCAGTACTAAGAACTATAACTTGATAAAGCGAGGACTCATATTCATACACAATCCAACAGCTCTAAAATAATTTTTATAAAAAAGAAAACAATATTACTAGAAGAATGTTTTATAATGAGATGATGAACCTGAGTTTCTTGACAAATAACTGTTGGGGGAAGAAGACCACGCAAGTAGTGTGCATCCCTCTCTTTCTCAGTGAAGGCTAGTCCTTTGTTGAAATGTGGATCTCTCAACAAAGCATATCCACTAAAAAAACCGAAACAATTCATCACAAAAAAGAAATAGCATAATCAATGTAAGAGAAAAGTGAATCATTATTTTAGTCGTGGTATCACTCAATTTTCAAAATAATCGATGAAACACTGGCATCAGATATGACACATGCACGTGGATACAAATACTCATTTAACAAAATAGAAGTGATTGAATATAATCATATATGTTACTAGTATTGTCTAAGACACCTGAAATGTCTTCAATCAAAAGTGTATGTGCTATCATCGATCAACAATTTTCAATTTCATGAATCATTTTAGAATTGAAATTTCATTAATCACATGAACAAAATTGTCTTCTCAACTACAATTTGAGGACTAAATTGGCGATTCACTCTAAAGAGAAAGCTATTAATCAAAATAAATAAGATGCTTATGAATTTATGCTAACAAATTACAAGTCTCATAACACACCTAGCAACAGAAATATTCCAAGGAGTAACACTCTGATCCTCGGTGGCCCTATCCTCACCATAAACATCCTGAACACCGCCGCCAATGGTGGTGTTATCATCGATATCAGGTACCTTCAAACATGAATCATTACTTGTCGCCATCACAATGCTGATGAGCTGAACACTGCACTTTCAAAGAACACGATGACGAAATCAAGTAATGTTCGCAGAAATAGAAGAAAAATCAATAACTTTGCACCAAATTGTTGAGTGTAATTTTGTGGAAATGAAATGTGATAAGAGAAGTTAAAAATTGAGTGGAATTGTTATGTCATTACCATGAAATTTGAAGTTTTTTAGGTGATCATGATTGTGAAACAAATGTTCGAAGGAGAGAAAGTTGCGGTTGTTTGAAACCAAAGGAAGAGAGACGAAAATGATTAGTCATTAGGAGGGGACGATAGCAAACGTTACTATAGATGCTTAATAATATAGTAGAGTATATATTACATCTACAAATTTTTTACTAACAATTTTATATCATCGAATTTGTTTGAAAAAAAATGACAACTTTAATCATATAATTAAACTAATTATTTTATAATGGTCTCATGATTATATATATATATATATATATATATATATATATATATATATATATATATATATATATATATATATATATATATATATATATATATATATATATATATATATATATATATATATATAACTCCTATTCTGGTAAGGGTGGCCGGAGGCTTTAGAGTTTATGAATGTTTATGGTGGTTAGGGTAAGCTCGCGATGGTGAGAATCCATGTTTTAGAGGTGTGTTTTTTTTTTAGGTGAGAGCAAGTTTACGGGGTGAAAAGTTATGTATTTTGAGGTATTTAGTGGTGAACTCAATATGTCATCCTCTAACCCTAATGTTTAAATATTTAGAGGTTTATGGGTCTGGATTTAGGGAGTCTCGAGAAGTAGTATTCATTCCACCTTGACTAGGGAACTGGTTGACTACCTACTCCTTGGGGAATTGTGGTCATGACTTTTTCCACATGTGGTTATCACTACGTACATGTCATCATTCGCGTTTCTCCTACGGGAGAGCCACCTTCTGAGTGAAGACCACGCGTAGGCGACATATTCTGGGGCGGACGCTTGATGAAGGTTGGTCCTGCATCGTCCTGTTGTGGGCTTTTACAAATATATCACTACTTAGCCCCTCAAACACGATGACTTGTAAAGAGCAAAGTGATTGAGCTCATCCTCCACATAATTTTAAGCCTTTCATTCCTTTTAGACATATTAGGTTCTCAAATATAGGGCACAAAGAGGATGTAATTTTGGAGCTCTATTTAGAATAAAAAGAGTTATCATGGCTACTACTGCCCCTTATTTTTACTTGTATTTCCCTATCATTCATGAATTTAGGGTTTTGATACCTTTTGTGATTTTTAAAGCGGACTTTTTGGAGATCGCTAATGTTTCCCCCTCCAAAATCATACCCAATGTCTTGAGCATCATTAGGGCTTTTGATATCATTTGTTACTATGTGAGTGTCCTACATACCATCGGGATATTCCTTTCTTTTTATGGTGTTGAGAAACTCCCTGTCTGTGGTTGGGTAACTCTATGCTTTTTGCTTGGTAGAAGTTTGCTGGAACCCTACGCTAAACCTTATAAGGATTGAAAAGATATATTTATGCGGGTCAGAGAGCAATATGGTGCTTCTATAGTGACCATACAAGCAACAAATGCTTCTCGCTTTCCTTTGTTGTAGACAACGAATCCTTAATTCATCAAGAGAATATACTTCAACGACCTTTCTCCCCTTAAACGAGAGGTGATCCAGGTGTTGAGTTGCTTTTATCTTATGAGCTCATGTTCTTTAATCACTCTAGACCAAAAGGATGTAGACAAGGTAAAGAAGTATTTTGGTAAGCTTTATGGTATGAAATGAACCTTTTTACTTGATCCATACTTATTGTTTTATACATTTTGACATTCTTTTTTCGTATGAGACATGCATAGGATCTCATTCGCTGAGAGGGAAGGGTGCTTAGTTTGGATGCAGGTCGATCAATGACCTATCGCGATCCTTTCGACTTGCCTAAGAGATTTGCTAGAGGTTGTAAGTAAAAGGTGAGGCGAGACATCTTGTGATAGAGACGCTTACCCTCCAAATAACCAAAGGCAAGGGAAAGGTCCCTCAGGGCCTTCGAAAGACAACCATATAATGCTACCAAGGGAGGAATGATAGGTGGAGATCATGCTCTGATGGCTAGAGATCCTTAACCCTCATTATAGAGTGACCATTCTTTTAGTGCGAATGAACTCACCAGGTGTTGCCTCCCTTTTCCATAGAATTATCTTAGTGACTATTAGTTACTGATTTGACGAGACTTTAAAAAGTCCAAATGTTGAAATTGCCGAGTAGCAGTACAAACTTAATTTTGTCATAGGGTGCATTCAAGAGTGTCATAAGACAGTGATAGCCATGGTAAATGAACAGGATGATTTGAAAGCCCTCGTCAAGAAGGTGGACTTTAAAGCACGAACCTATGCTCAAGAGAGGGAACGTTTGAAGGAATCTTTGGAATTTATCTTTCTCCATATCTTTAGAAAATATTCTTATTCACTTCTAATTGCCTTAGTGTTACTAAGTGATGCTCTATTTGTGAGACAAATATTTTTGTAACTGGTTGTGCTGGTCGTTTATATTCTTAAAGGTGAGATACCTTTAAGAGATTGAGTTTGGTTATTGAGATCAACCTGTTATAAAATATTTGTTCTTGGTTTATTAAGATTTTTGGAAAAAACTTTGTTTTGGTTAGTGAGATCAGCCATAAATATCTAAACAATTTGATAGTTTAGCCTGTGTTAAAAGTTGTCATTTAGTTAGGATAAGCCTATTAAAATCTCAAGATCAAATTGTATTAAGGTTCATGCGCATAACCTTCAAAAGGTAGAAGTCTATAGTGAAACTCTTAAGAAGTCCATTTGGGGATAATACTAGGCCAATGTTTGGTCAAACCTGTATAAATCTTTGGTGCAATCTTTCTAACCCTACCAATTTATTTTCTGAAATTTACCTTTTAACATTTTATTTCCGATGCAATTACTCACCTAAAAATTAATATTATGATCTTAATTGAGAAAGGATAAAATTAATCATGAATTTTGAATACCACAACTCAGCCCCTCTTGTACTTGAAGTCACTTGTCTAATATAAATGAGTCCACATAGGAGAGTACTCTTCCAGGGAAGGATTGGTCTTAATCTCAACCTTCCTTTTTTGGGATTTTAGACAAGGGCGCCTCTTCTACGGTCAAAGTAGTCATATCATCGAAGTCTCAGAAGCTGAGATGAGAGTCAGTGTTATTGCAATAACATTGGTTGTCAGAGGGAGCACCACAACCTTGATGCCTTATGCGCCAGCAAGATCATAAAGCTTCTTCAGCTTTTCCATCCTACCTACAAAAGGTAATCACACATGTAAAAAAACTACAAGACCCCATACTCACCAAAAATATCTTTCGTCTCATCCCGATTGATTGCATTCAAAATAACATAAGCATCAATCCACTTCTTCTTCATCTTGGAATGAAGAACCACGTCGGGCCTAAATCCCTCTTCATAATTGAGCCCTTGAAACCAAGAATGCAAGTCTTCCTTCATCATTACCTTGTTAGGGGAAAAAGAGTCTAGCCTGGTGCAATATAGATGGATGTCCCGATTGAAGTGAGATGAAGATTAATACTTCATAAACAAACTCTTACAAAAGCAAGGCAGGGGAGTAACATAAAGTGAGATGGGCCTCTAGTGTAATGGTCTTTACCAACAAAATATGCCCCATAAAATCACCCAAGTTTAGGGTGAAAGGGTTGAACTAAGGATTATCTGGGTAGAAACTAATGAGGCCTTGGTCATAGGAGTTGTCTTAAGAGAAGAATTGTAGGTGGAACAACTTAAGGAACAATCCAAGATAATATTCCTAAAATTTACGCTCAACATACAGTTGGAATAATCTCATATAGGCCCAGGACCTCGGATGAAGCTGAGAAGGAGAAACTTTTAAATGTTTCAGAATGGCAACTTTGAAGCCGGAAAAAAGTAGTCGCAAACCTATCCCTCTGAACAAGCATTTATAAAGCGGAACCGCGCAGTCATCGAAATTGATTCATGTCCTCTTCATTTGGACCTCCTGAAAGAACATACTAATACTGAGGGTCACCGACCACAATGCCAACAAACTTAATCGTCACTTCAATAATCAGAATATAATGGGTACATGTTACCTCATCATTCACCTATCCATACTTCACTGCATATGTCCAACCTTGAATATTCAAATAGGCTTTCACTTCAGCGTCGTTCGACACATAATTATTGGTTTTTAGGAAAAATTAGATATGAACTTAGTGCGTTCTCTCATATGTCGATTGGACTTTATTTCCTTCTCGGTTAAGATGGGAGGTGCATGGGGACCTAAACATGAGGCACCTCTACACCGATGTTTGATAAGAGGTTTTCTATTGAGTTGGATGAAGAAGATCCTTCTTCTTGGGAATTCCTAGACACTTTTTTTGAATTAGAACCATTAGATAAAAGTATGACTTCTAGTCCTATGTGAACCTGATCAAGAAGAGGGAGATGGGAATTAAGGGATGTCCATATTCTCAAGGTAAATGAAGTTTCACTCTCATAATCGCTCACTAAGTCGAATGTATTATCACTCATCCTAGCTAGAATATAGGAAATGTTGCGTATAAAAGCTTGAGTTTTGGTGGGTACCTAGTGGCGTGAGATTAATGAAGTGTAGAAAATATGATCATGGAACTGCAATTGCCCTGATTAATATTCTTAGGAAGGAAGAGGCGAACATATTTGTCAATAAAGTGCAGGTGAATGTCCTTGAGTGCAAAAGATTGCAAAAAGCTTCCAAAATGCTAAACTCTTCATACTTATAGGTGAAGGCAGTTGAATGACCTAGATTATCTGAAGAAAAGAGTTATGAAATCAACAGTTAGATTCCTCCTCGGAGATACATGCTAACTAAGTGCACTCAAGTGAACTATATACGACATACCCTAAATTGTCGCTTAAACCCACATATCAGAAGCAAGCAATGAAAATTTTCAATGATAGAAATGTCTTTAA